CCACTGGTTTTAACACCCAACTTGGTAGGGTAAAGGGATTTAAAATACTTGACTATTAGGAAACAAAAACGTTTTCTAGTTTTAGCCAAGCCACTTTATAGGGAGCAATCAAATAGAGTTCAATCAACAGAACAGAGAAAGCAGCCACTGGTGAAAGCAACAGGAGTAAGGGGGCTTATAAGGAGCATCAAGGGATAAGCAACCTCTTACCCTGAATCCACTCACTAGGATAATCTGATTGTAGTTCAGGAAGTTCCAGTAGAGATGCTATAGGGCCTTCATGGACTTCAGCTTCTCCAGAGGTCAATTCAAGATCTCAGCTTAAGATTTATCATCTGATCTGAACTAACCTTTGGAGTAACCCAGCCATCCAGAGTAAAGGGACTCTAGAGACTAATTTCTTCCCTTTGGTACCCACCCATGGTATTTAAAGTTAGGTAACTCAGATATCCCCCAGCTACGGAAAACGCGCTTAGAAGCAATTATCCCTTTTTTTTCCTTCTCGGTCTGCTATTAAAAAAGGCATTACTGGCTTCTGGTGCTTACTGGCATAGCATGCACAGCAAAACTATTACAAACAGTGTTTAGAGCCGTTCTCTCTATTGCTGTTCTTCTACCTGTTATAAGAATTAGTCCACTGAAAAGGTAACACAGTAAGTTTGTTGTGATGTTACTCAAACTCTGTTGCGGAGCATACTATTAAATCCTAAATACTGTGTGTTCCACTGCTGCTTATTGGAAGAGGGTGATAGAGGTGTTTAAGTGATTTCAGGTGCTGGGTTCAGGCATTTAGCTTGGATGCACCATTCCTTCTTACCCCCACACAGGAATAAACGTGAGCAGGACATTTCCCCAGGCAACTGCACATGACTCAGTTAGGTACTAAAAAGAGTAGCGATGAGGCCAGCCTTTTACACACCCCGAGTCCTCCACCTGCCTCTTAAGAAGGTGGATTATAAAAAGCTACAAGATGCTAAAGAGTTGTAGTGGTTTTATGCTCACTACGAAGAACTAGAATGGGATCAGCAAATCCATTTCAAGATGGCTCCAGGGATAGATGGTAATTAGGACTTGTCTATACTTGAAAGTTAAATCAGAAAGTGTAAGGTCTCCCTGTGGACACCCTAACTCCAGATTATTTTAATTCACTTTCAGTAACTGCTCCAAAAGAACTCCAAGTATAGAGAAGTCACTACTTTTCAAATCACAGCCAAACAGCTATTTTTAATTTGCCTTTGTTCATTTCAGAATAGTGCATATGATGCACAAGCGTGTTGCACTGCCCTGAAGAAAATAAATCTAGAGAGATGAACATCCTGCTGAGAGAACCCATCTCTGGATAGTAAGCACAGAATTGTACTATTTGACAGTAAAGCAGTCTGCTAAAGAATTCTTGACAATTGCATAATTGAATTTACCCTCTTTTGTGTTTTTTTTACATCACAGCTATACGCAGTATCTCCCTAAAATTCTCAGAACAGTTCAGTGTTCCATAAACTTTGTCCTGTTTTTCATCTGAATTCAAATTTTCATGTTTTGACATAATGAATAATCAACCACTACACTCAGTTTCCAATAGCGTAAGCAGAAAAAAATGGTACCTAAGCTATGGTGATCCTGACTTATAAGATTCATGGAAATAAATGCTAAAAATAAGAACATGCAAACTTAACAGTTCCTAATACAGAAGACTTTATGCAGTTTTTTAAACAGAAACTATTGCTGGTATACCAAAATAAGGATTTTTACCTTAATCTATGGTCTAACTTTCAGACTTCGTCACATAGACAATAATCCTACAATAAAATAAACTAGTGTGTCTTGTGCATTACAAAACTATGTTGGAAACATATTACCAAATTCTTATATTAATAATGGTTACATTTAGATTTTCCTAAGCCAAGAATAATATTGCTTCTCATTAAAAAAAGCAAATGAACATGATTCAAGTTTCTTAAAACAGGTATTCTCCCCATGCCTCCTGTCATCTTCAGCAATCAGTAAACTGAAGCAAATAAAACAATCAAAGGGCAGGTCTCAGATTACTATTTTTTCCTCCAAACTGCAAAGTTTATTTGTCTTCCAAAAATAATCAATTACAAAAATCCTAAGCAATTAACAGTCTGCGTATGTGTGCACACGAACACACGTGCACAAAATTGTTTCAGATTTTAACAAAAATACAGGTGAGCAGAGCCAGACAAAGAAAAAAAAGCCTATTTTTAGGCAGTTCTTAAAGAATGAAACAAAGGTAAGAGACATCAGGAATTACTTCACAAACATGTAGGTAAAAGCTCAATAATAAGAACGCCCAAAAGCTAAATCTTGACTTACATTAAACAATGAGTACGTGAAATGTACGGGGGGGAACTAAATTTCTGGGAAAGACAACAGCTGAACTAGAGCAATGCATTTTCTTTCTTCATATCTGCAAGTAGCACTTGCCACCTCCTTTCATGAAATTTCATACCCACTCTCCCAGAAGTTCCCCTTGCTTTATTTCCCAACTTCCTTAGCATTTGGTATTTCCTTAGTACTCAAGAAAAAAAGATAAACAGAACTTTCAAATAGTTGAGGTTTGGGGGAAGGGATTGTTTGTTCATAGAAAAAAGTAACAAAATATGCAAGAAAAACTTCTTTCCTCACAAAGGATCCTTTCCAACTTGGGATGTGTCTCATAACAGTGCCATTTATCATTATTAAGCGAAAACAAGACAGGGGAAAACTAGAGCTGCACAACTTAAACTGAAGTAACAGTACTTTGTCCATTAGCTAAAAGGAAAGATTCTACCATTATCTCCTATTAATGGGGTTGACTCTTCTTAAAAGAGTCACCTCTTGCCCAGGCCCCTTTTTGAAGATCCTTAGGAACTGCAACACACAAAAAACTCACGCCTCGGCCTTTCTTAAGTGTCAGCTATCACAATTTGTCCTATGTGTCGTAATATTTTCTAATAAAGAGCCCTTTCGTGGTCAAGCCAGAAACCTAAAACCATAGAAATTACCATCAAGGACAATCACAGAAATTACCATCAACAAACACTTGCTTTTGGGAAAGGCGTGGACTGTGCCTAACACAGCATGAACAGATGCACTAAACCAGACATCTTTTAACACAGTAATTCCAAAAGCTACAACTTATACAACCATTGCAAAAGAGTAATAATGAACATACAAAACAATTCCCCCACACTTCCCCACACAATTTATATAATAAAATGCTACATTTTATCTAGCTTTTGTAATCCTGCAGATGTGATGTGGAAAACTTACCCTATGAGATGCAGTATGTATACAGTTAGAACCAAGACTAAACACTGTTTCCACATACATACAGCAAGTAACATTTCTCATGACAGAAGAGCAGTTAAATTAGGCATAGTCTTAATTACAGCAATCTGAAAGATTATCAAAATAGCTGCACTGTATTATGTTTTTCAATTACTTTCATGCATTTTACAGAACTATACATATAGCCAGTTGGGTCCATAAGATTTTAAAACAGGGAAAGGAGATGTATCTCATTAAAAAGAAAAAAAAAAAACACACTACACCACAGGCATTTGCAGGGAGCTCAAGGGCAGATCCTGGCATTTAAATAACTAACCTTTCCAATTGTCATCATTTCTTTAATTGGCTTCTTTCTGGATGGATTTTGGAGGGTTTTGTTTGGTTGAGGTTTAGGGGTGGAAGGTGTTATAGTCTTGCTTTTTTGCTATTGCAAGGCAGGTGGTATGACACTGGATGGAATTAATCTCAGTTTAGTATCCTAAAGCTAAGTATCTAATCTGAGCTAAATCACAGTTTCCACAGTCTCCAGAGAGGCAATCCAGAAAATGATTCATTCTACTTTTCTTAAATATCTGTCTTAGGGCGAGATGAGTAACTCTCTGGAGGCGCCCAGCTCCTTCCAAGTGTAACAGAGCAATCCAACAGCTTAAACTAGATGTCCAACTTTCAGAGAGCTAACATGCAGCGAGATGCATTTGACTCGCTACTTACCAAGACTACTGGGCATCTTTTACCTGGAAAAGCTTGCATGAGAGCCCCAAGGAAAGAATCAGGCAGTAAATACAAGGGGTTTCCCTCTTTCTGTCTGAAGTTTAGACTTCTAGGCACATGAGGATTATAAGGTCCAAACTGTTATGAAAACCTGTTCTTCCGTTTAATAATGTGCATAACTTAAGAGAAAAGTTCCACTCATTTTAAAGAGCTACTTAGACAGTTCAGGAATACAAATACAAGTAAGTAACATTATTGAATTGAAGCCTTCAGGACTTGGGAAGATGTCTTAAATGGTAAAATTTGAACACTGATTTTTAAAACGAACAAAATATAATGCCGTATCTACCAATATGAGATCCCATGCCAAATTCACACACATAGTACAGAAGTCCCCCTTTATTTTAAGAACACAAGCTCTTCAGAGTAAGACTTTTTTTAAATGCCGTTTTTTTTTTTTTTTTTAAAACATCTATTGCTAAAGCACATCTGCTACAATGCTTAAGAGGACAAAAAAAATAATATCTTTTAAAGCAGTATTTAGGTAATGTGGCTGAGGGATGTCTACTGTTGGGGATGACGATCCAGTTTCAGGATAATTAAAATCCTTTAGCTGATTCAGCATCACTCATTTTGGATTAAACAAACCTATAGAAAACTTCCATCTAAAGGACTGTTTCACATGGACACAATCCACAGTAGTAAGACTGCATTCACACACTACCATACCCTGTAATATCTTTCACATGTAGACAAACGAAAAGGCACTTCAGAAAGCAACACAGGAAAGCCAGTACACCTCCTGCCCCAGCTCTTCCTGTTGCATGGATAGAGAGGAACTCAGTCTCCAGGTACAGTAAAACAACATTTTAGAATAGACTTGCTAAGAAACACCTTTTGCTATCATATTTACTCCACAAGAGGAAATACTACATGAAAATGTTGAGATTTATACATATATATAGATATATGTATAAATATATACACACATATATGTATAAAGCAATTCATATCTATATATGTATAAATATTTATACATATGTATACACACAAGCATGTATATATGTACAAAATAACAGAACTAAAAGGCAGTGACCTATTCTTGCTTCTTTACGATGTACAAGGAAGGTCTAAAAACTTTTTTTTTTTTTTAATCTTGAAAACATCAGGAATGTCAAACCTGGTCTCTATTCTCTTTGCTGGAAGACTTCTTGGAGGTATAAAGCCACAGGTAAAAGAGCTTTTTACCCACTGATTGAAGATTAAAGTATGGAACTACAGACAAAGCTGTCTCTTCCCCCAAATATTTTTCAGCCGTTTGAATTAATTACACATTAGCAATAGCTACGTATTAAATAGTCTAAATAAAAAGCAGATTTCAATTAATCCTACAGTGCGACAATACAGAATCGTCACACTGACATACTGTCACACTTGACAATAGAGTTACAGTACAGAAATCCTGACAAACAGAATTTCAAACAGAAGGCACAAAATAAGAAACAAATCCTTTAGTACGAACAACAAAATGCCAATTTAAACCTCCTTTATACCTCCTAAACAGCAACGCAGAATAATATCCTTTATACAGACATGACTGCAAAAATATTTTTTATACAGTTCACTGACGCTGCAGAAGTAAAACTATGCTATTCACCTACTTTACCAGTTTGAAGGCACAACGGATATCACTTCATCCACATCCCACACCACTTACAGTGAAAAACAAACAAGAAGCATCTTTAAGAAAAAAGGAGATAAAAATACAGATGCACCCTGAGAAGTGAAATTTCACAACAAAAAAACATTTATTTTAAAATATTGGTATTTGTAAACTCCCATTGTCTCAACCTGCATTCTCCTATAACTAGGATAATAACGTTGAATCCTCAGTTACTATGGATAATATTACCTGTAGATAAAAAAATAATACTAAAAGTTTCCCAGAAACATAAATCAACCCAAACCTGACAGAAAGAAATGAGGTCTCGCACAGAATCACTCCAAAGCAGACATATGTCAGTGGGGAAGAAAAAAAAAAAAACCAAAAACCAAATTTAAAGATTTCTAAGAATCTCCAGGTTTCTGGGGGAAAAAAATGGAATGGCATAACCTAGCTGGAAATCCCAGTGCCATCTGTGTGGAGAGAAGGAAGAAGAGGGTGGGGAGGTGGGGGGGAGGGAAGACATCTGTGCATGCCCTTCTTTGGATCTGGAATTCTCAAAAGTTTCTGTAAATTCTAAAATCGGAAAAAAAGGTCTTTTTATAAAAATCAGATAAGTGTTCTGTAGCTGTCTCATGATGTGGTTTATAAAGTATTGGCACCAGCACAAAAGAGTTCAAAGCATTCATTCAAGAGTCACATATTTTGCCAAATCCTCAATGATTCGTAGCACTCCTCTATGAGTGGACAGTTATTTACTGCATAAACTGAAGTATTCTTTGCCAGTGATCTTCAGTGTAGCAAGGTTCTTTTGCCAGATAAAACGTTCTGCCTGTTCTCCCAGTAGATAATCACAAATATGTCTCTCCAGTATTACTACCTTGATGGCAATCTCAAATGACAGGCCATGCTTCATGGTCCACATTCACCAACAATGTACAGTTATAAACTTAAGTTGTAAATAGCAACATACTTTCAGCATGGTTTTGGAGGAGAACAAAAAAAAAAAAAAGAGAGAGGAAAACTTCATCAAAGGAAGTGCAAGAGGAAGACAAAGAAAGCTCTGGAATTTGTCCATAAACACAGCCTTCCTTCTCCAAAGGCTAAACAGTGTTAAGGAGAGAGAGAGATATTGCAATAGTACTTGGAGCTATCATCTCTCTCGGAAAGAACAGGAAACGAAACAAATACCTTAAACTAGTAAGTCACCAAATCATATTGCCCTTGTTTCACAAACACTCTATGTTCATTGCTATTTTACTGAACAAAAATGTTTGCTTTTACACTTGATAGCAGATTTGCAGTTGCCAATGCATTATCTTAAATACTGATTTTTATGGTACTTCTCATGATAAGCAGATGTATCACAAACCAACACAATCCTGACCATGAGAGAAATTTGAAAAGAAAATTGCTTTGGACTTTTCTACAAGTTATCAGTTATGACACTAAGTACCTGGCTCAAACTTTATATCCAATACCAATAAGCAGCTGGTAATTTTCTCTTTCGTTTCTGCTATAAGTTCAGGTGGAAGGTTCTTGCATTTATCTGTTGTCGTTTAGGCTGGACTGTAAAACATCACTACATCTATTTCAGGTGGAGGAAGGGAGAAAAATGTATCAGATATAAGTCATTGCCATGAAAATGAAGAAGAAAAAATGTCTTTTCAATCCATTCTTATACAAGTGTAAACAGGTTTTCAAACAGCTCATTAGAGTCCAAATAATAAGATCTTACACTGCAGGCCAAATTAAAATGCTACAGTGTGTGTATACAGATATATATATATATGTTTGTGTGCATATCTATATGTGTGTACACACATATATAAAAATAAATAAAAGGAAGCACCCATCTTTTTCTTACTGCTAAATATTTAACTTTTGCTTTTATCTGGATAGTTTATTGTTTAAAACATCCTATAAAGGGACATGTGAGAATACGTTTCTAATTTTCTTCTCATTAAAGCCACATATATGGCTATTATATAAAAACATGCAGTGCCACCAATTAACAAGGAGTTAAACAAATACTAGGTACAATATCAACTCTTTAGGAAACGCATAATGTATTTAAATATATTTTTACCCATTTTGTGCAGATAATTAATACTTTTCTTTATTTCATAGGGGATTTATGCTCTTCTTAAAAAAAGCGAGCACAATTTCACAGGAAACAACTCTTGTCAAACGAATTCCACAGCAGCATATGTAGTGAGTCACTGGGTGAAACTCTTTTTTATGAACACATTAGGAAAGTTGGCATTCAGTTCTAGGACAACTCTATTATCAATCTGTGAACAGAAGGACACATCGAGTAAAGAGAGATCTTTACAAGACTCCAGCAATTTTCTTAAAGATGCAGGGCTTACCATCCTTGTTCCTGTTCAAAAACAAAACAGAAAGAAAATAACTTGTAAAGTTAATAGAATAGAGTCTCTTTTCTTTTTTTTCCCCCCTCAAAGCTGCTAATACTGCATCTTGAAAAAATGGTACCGTAACCTAAATTTTCTTTAAATTATTTCAACTAGATTTCAAATGAAAAGTTTTTCTCAGGTACAGTCTTTGCAGGATCTTACCTTTAAAAAGCCTGTTGTATTTTCCTAGCCCAACTGCTTAAGTAACTCCTTCAGTTTCCACTTGGAAGAAACTTCACAACTTCAAGGGGAATTTCTAACTACAGAAGCTGACCCCAAGTACCAAAAGCCGCAAGACTTCCCAGGGACAAGATTCTGGCCTTTGGTAACAAGCAACATAGCGTGCTACTCTCCTGTTCTCACAACTTGTCTGCTGGCTGTAATGCCTTGCACAGCACATACGTTATTGCAGACTACTCCAACTCCAAATAAATCAGCAAGACTTCTGTGGAAGCTGGATTAGGGCTCTAGAATGAACACGGGCGTTACACATGCAGGAGTAATTTTCAAGGACGACCAGTCCTCCCTACAGATACTAACTGCAACAGGGAATACTTAATGCTATTTGCCTCTACTAAAAATGTGACTGAACTCCTGACTCCTGTCATACAGGATGAGGTCAAGCACAGAAATCAAAAACAGCAGGTGTTTATACGCATACAGGCACACTCCCATTATAGGTGATGGGAATCCAGTCAGTACAATCAATGGCACATAGCACATGATTCAGCAGACCAGACCGCAGGGAATGATTCAATTACTCAGAGAGGCGCGCCTGGTGCCCCTTGGGATTTCTTAGACCATGCAGGACGCTCACACAGAGCTGGACAATATGACACAGGACCCACAGGGGTTCCATGCCCTACTGGAACAGCAGCCGGAAGGCAGCCTGGTTATTCTGGGCAAGTAAACCAGGCCCCGATTCTCTAGTGTGCTAAACATCAAACTCTGACTAAAAAGTGTACACGCCCAACATGTACACATCTACTGGTATACACTTCAATTTATACATCTTAATCTTGAACTGAATCTCGCTCCAAGAAGCCATCTAGTCCAGTTCCTTGTCTTTGGCCACAGCAAATAAGGCTTACAAAAAGAGAGGAAGAAACAGGGTGTTTATAAATCGTTCCTTCACTTCCTCTCAACTGCCAGAAATGATCAACTTAGGGATTTTCTAAGTGACGTTCCATGAACGTATTACCCTTCTGAATACATTTGCATTTATGGCCCCTTCACATGAGTTCCACAGTTTAAATACATATTGTGTTAAAAATAAAAACCAGTGCTGAACGTGCTGCCTGTTAATTTCATTGCCCCTTAGTTTTTCTTTCCTAAAGAAGCAGTGAGAGATCATTCCCAATTCACTTTTCCCACACCAATCACGAGTTTATAGCCATCTCTTCTGTCCCCTCAAGGTTGTCTATTTTCCAGACTCTTCAGTATTTCAGATAATCCCTGTTGTCTTGTCTCTGTACTTTCTAACGCATTACTTTTGAAATGTGATGACTGGAACTATAACACTGTACCGAACACAAGGCAGTAATTCCATAATGAGGTCTTATGGTTTTCTCTCCTTGTCTTTCCTAAGAAATCCTAATATTTTATTTGTCCTTAATGAGTAATGAGCTGATGTCTTCCAAAAAAAAAAAAAAACACCACCAAAAAACCACAACTATCTACAACATCTCCAGGATCTATTTCCTGCACAATAACTACTATAAAGCCACTCCCTTCATATGCTTAATGTTATTTTTACTCCATATGATGACTTTGCTCTTATCAGAGCATTATATCTGCTACATTTTATTATCCGGCTACTCAGTATTGTCGGATTGCTGGGTAATTCTTTGTTAAGTTCTTCAGATTTGGATTTTTTCTAACCTCTGTACTTGCACATCATCAGCAAACTGTAATGTCATTATTCATTCATTTGCCTGGACTACATACAAACACATTAAACAGTACCTATCCCAGTGCAGATTCTTGATTACCACACTAGTGACCTAACTTCGTTGTGAAAACAGACGCTATATTGTTATCCTCTGTTACCTATCTTTGAAACACTCATTGCTATCATCCAGGAGAAGATAGCCAAGTTCTTTTAAAAGTAGCTTTTGTAAGCTTTGGTAAAAGCTTTTGAAAATCTAATCTTATATGGCCTGGATTAGTGTTATTCCCATCTTCATCAGTTGCTCCCAGGAATTTTAAAAGATTTGAGAGGCATAATCATCCTGGAAGGGATGGAGCTCTCCTTCAAAATATCTAACACTCTTCACATTCACTGATTCATTCTTTCCTATGGTTGCAACCAGTTTACACAGAAGATAATTTTATTGTTTCATAGCTGTTAGGATCATCCCTGCGCTCTTCACAGAAGAATGTGCCACATTTGTCACCCTTAATTCCTTCAGTGCCAAGGCTAATTCAAGTGATAAATCACACACCAGAAGTAAGATTTCAACAGCCTTGTATGTGAGCTCATTTAGAACTCCTACATGAATACCATTTAGTCCTAACAATTTATTATTGTTCAATATATTGATTTGTTCAAAAGCTTCCTGTATTGGCATTCCAATTTAAGACAGCTTTGCAGGCTAATCTCCTGGAAAGAATGGCTTTGATGTGGCAGCCTACTTAATTCCCCCTACCGTGAACCCTAACGGACTGCCAACAGTTTTCCTGCAATGGCCTTCTCATAACTGAGTGATCCTTTACACCTTGAGTACCTAGCAGCCTCAGCAACTGTCCTGTAAACTTCTGATAGCTAACGTACTTGAAATACATTACTTGAAATACATTTAGCTTGGACTAATTGCTCATTTCTCAGAACATATACGTAACTGGTGTATTAAAACCTGCCATTTATTTTTGCTGTTCAATTTGTTCCCTGAAAAATTCTCTGGTATCACCTTCAAAAGGGTGCTTCTGAACAATGATTTGTTTACTAGAACTATTTTATTAGCTGTAAAGGATTTCATTCATATACATATATCAGCTCTAGAATTGTTAGGCAGACCTGTGCATAATGATTCTGAAAATAACACCTCCAGAATATTTCTGCAGTCCCAATTTCTATGACAATGGACATTAATACACACCAAATAATACTTAACAAGAATAATCAAGTTAAAAGATGTGCCTCCAGTAATTTCATTTAAACACACACTCATCATAAACTTTCAAGAGGGTATATATGAAAAAATTTTCAACTTCTGTACAGAGAGAACCCACACATGCAGCTAATGAAGTAGAGACCTTGAAAATAACTAGCACTAGTCCCTCAAATGCCTACTTTTCCTTTCCTCCCCTAGATCAGCCAGACTAGCCTGTTATTCTTTACGTTTTATTCAATCTATTGCACACCACGCAAATTCTAAATTTTAATGTGCTGTAGATTTTCCTGTTTAAATTGTCTAACTACTTGTTGATGTTCCCAAGAGAAAGCTGAAGATTTTGACAGTTGGCAAGGTGACAGTCGGGTTTTCTGTTGCTCAGGAAGGTGTGGGAAGTGATTTTGTAAGTAGATTGAGTATATTAATTCTGCAGTAACAAAGGTATCTACTTTTTTAATGCTCTTTGTGCAGGACAGAGGCAGTTATGACTTTTAGGGAGAGAGGTTAGGATGACTTATTCTTCACTCTTGACAGCAGTTGGTTGCTTGTATGACATACAATAAGAGCTTTTGGTGCTATCAATTCAGGCTCTCATCTGATTCATCACATTGCTCAACACAGGTCATAGTTTGAATATTAGCTTTTAACTACAGGCCTTGAGGTTTCCACTTAAATTTCTCCAGCACTAGATGAGGTATGCCATCTCCACAGAACTGTCAGATCATCACAACTAGATCATTCTGCAGCAGGGTGGAGATCCTCAAGTGAAGGGAAAGTACTGGAAGAATTCCTATACAACCCACCATTTCGACCACTGGAAAAGACGTGGCAGAGAAGGAAAGGATGCTTATAAGGAGGCAGCTCACTACCTAACAAGTAAAAGGAATTGCAAAACTAAATAAAAAAAATTAAAAAGCACATCCTCACATACTTCTAACTATTGCACAGAGAAACCAACATTATACCATCATCTCTGGTGACTATGTTGCAAGGTAAGACATTTTGATTCTTGCTTAGCTTAAGGACCTGTACCGAGCAAAAAACTTTAAGCTTTTGGAGTCTTGTTGAGGCAAAAGACGTTCCCTCACAACATGCACGGTTAACCTAGCAGCAAGCAGAAGCTGTCAATTTTACTTCCTCCAAACTGCCCTACTATTTCTATGCCCTTTACAACCCATGTATAAGCCAAACATTTCATTACTTGGGAGACAAGAGGGGATATAATGAGTACCTCTCCTTCATTCACATCGTAGAGAAGACCCACCTGTTCAAGGTTAGTCTTGCAAAGCTGAGAACTGACCTCAGACTTCTAACAGATTCAGACCTGTTGACACACTTTTTTTTTTTTTTTTAAATAAAAGGACAAAAAAAGCATTTTGTAGCTTATACTAATAGGACGGCCCCATGTCAGCCACCGAAAGTTAGAGCACATACAGAGATTTGTAACTTTCTTCGTACTCCTGAGCAGTGGGAGATTGATTCTTTAGCTCAGACAACAGACACTTTTGCATTTATAATAGAGCACCCAGCATCTCCAGCTCCGGATGGCCCAAGAACAGTTGTGGCCCAAAAGCTTAACAATTCCGTCTTTTAACCACGGACTAACTGTTCCCATATTCAAACAAAAAAAATGAAGACAGTTTCCTTGCTGTACCAGAAATAACTGCATGACTTCCTCACATACACTGCATCACCTTGTACTAACTGGTTCATTTCAGAAAATAGCCTTGTTTTCCACCCTACTGAGGATTCTTCTAAAGGAAGAAACAGAGGTATATATTAAGGTTTTGGGTAATATCTTGTAGATAATCCAACTGCATCTCCATATGCTCCAAATGCTCTCCAAAACAAATATGCAGTCGTATTGGGGAAAAGCCACTTGACTCAGGAATACTGGTAAGCACCCAGGTGATGAACAAATTCCTTTCCCATGTTCAGGTATTACTTTTCCACATAAGCGTCAGGAAGACGCATAAACTGAATTCGAATGTTAAAGGAAGTGTGTGGCAACAAGCCCCCACTGCTGGCAGAGAGGCAACAGCACTAGCAGACTATCTGTAGGCTTAAAACAATCACACTATTCACTGTGCAGCAGCCTCTCTGGCAGAGTGAAAGGTCAGACCAATTTGTAGGCAGACACAATGCCATTGTAGCAGAAATGCATGAAAGTGGGTGATCAAGAGAACATACATGTTTTTCAAATACGGTATTCATTATGCTTTTTGGAAACTTTTCGTGTCTGACTAGGGAAATGTGCCCTCAAACTAGCTACAAAACAGTTTCCCTTAAACACAAGCAAAGCACATTACCATCTGCAGACACATACATCAAGCCTGAAAAATTTGTACTGGGCGGAGTAAGTTTTCATCTGTTCATCCTCCTTCCCAATGGTGGTTAGAAGGTGACTTTCTTATTCAGGGATGAGTAAAACTGTATTTCATGGTAGAAGAGTATACACTAGCTATATTGGAGTGACAATCTACAAGAAATTTACCATATTGCTTTAATGAGAAATGCTGACAACCTTAAACACATCTGGAACATTATTCAAGTTGAGGACACTCAATTCTTTGAAGCATCTCAACCTAAATGTAGTGTTTTCATTAAAATTATTAAATACTAAAAATGTGCAGTACAGCTTTCTTCCCTTTTTTTAATCTTCCTCTTTCAACTAAGCTGGTGAAAACAACTCATATAAGTGCATAGAAACTTCTCCCACAGTGTTCACACTACACTGCAGTCCTATATTACTTTAAAAAGAAAACATCATCTTCCATAACAAAAAGAACAAACGCAATATTCTGCAAAGTACGTTTCTCAAAAGTCCTTACTTACAAGTCCAAAAGCCTATTTATTTTAGATTTCTAAACATAGTAGTAAGTAGGGTGCAGAGGACTAGAATTTAAGATCTGCTGGTTTTTGCTCCTCCTTACTTTTTTCCCACCTTAGTGGAAAGTCCATTTAAGTTTTTTTCTTAATTACTTTTTTTTCTTTCATGAGATAATTCATTTCCTGATGAAACCAACAAAGAAATTTAATATTGTTCCATCTATCTGTATTGCACAAAAGTAGAAATCTGTTTACTGATCATAAGACTCGCACTATACTTTGTCACACTGCACACAAAGTAAAAAAGCAACAATCAACAAAAGCAGAAACAAGGAAAAGAAATTGGATCACCTGATAGCCAAAAGTAAGTAAAAAGATTTGAGTAAAAAAAAAAAAGAAAATGCTAGTGATTATAAAACTAAAATTATTAGAAAAAATCCTACTCAATTCTCAGTTTAACCAATTAATATTAAACAGTCAAATTATATGATTGACATAAATCGATCGGATTCTAAATCAGGAACTTACTGCAGTGAATAATATTTCCCATCAATCTTTTTTTCCCTATAGTGAGCTATTTTTTAAAGAAAAGTTTATTCAAAAAAAAAAGCTGAAAGACAGTTTAATCTTACAGACTCCATTTTAACTGCAAGGCTTTTCAGACATAATAAGTAAGAAATATTCCAGTGGTCCTATGTTTTCTTACCCAATATATCCAGCTGCCGTAAACGAGTACAGTTAGCAGCAAGCTCTTCAATGTCTGTGTCACACACAGATCTGTTGGCTGTAAGAAAGAGCTTTTGCAAGTTTGGAAGTTTACGTGCAAGGTTTGTGAAACAACCTGTACTGCTCTGTAATGTAGGGCACCAGCCAAGATCAAGTTCTTCCAAAAGCTGGCAGCCTGAAGCCAATTCTGCTATTCCGCTTTCAGTTATGTTTTTACATCTCCACAAATCCAGACTGCGAAGTTTTTTGCATTTTGCTCCCATCATACTTGCTATAAGATCATAGTCTTCAATCTGTAAGGAAAACAAACACTGTCATGTATACCATATTTTCCAGACATCTATAGGTGTTTCAAGAATTTGCTTGCTAACACACCTACAGATCTGTCTTAAGCACTTGTCATTTCTAAAGAGCTCAAAGAATTACTCCTTGTAGATTACAATGAGGTCTACTTTTACAAAAGACAAAGGTAAAATACATTTTTTAATCAACCATCAAACACAGATGCTTTCAAATTCATTTAATAAAAGGATCAGTGGAAATACAGGGAAAAAGTTGATTTTCCTTCAAAATCCCTTCCTTTTTTGAACAGTTATTTTTATTTCAAAATATAATTAAAATTATTATTTTTTAATGGTAATAGGCACTGCAATCATAAGCATATGTGCATTAAAGAATGCACATATTTCTGTTCTAGACTGACGAGTTGCTACTTCTTCCTTACAGAAGCATTGCTATTTACCCTGGGCAAGCCAAAGGGGCTCAAACAACGTCCCATTATACAGGCAGCAGAGAATGAAATCCACATAGGAAGAGTGGGACTGTTGGAAAGATTAAGTCACATTGCCCTCCTCCTTCATTCTTGAGCCAAAGTAGGGAAGGCTGAGCCAATTCTGCTTTGTCACTTGCTTCCTGAACTTTTAGGAAATTCTGCTAAGTCTCCCTAGTGAGTTATAGCTGGTGAGTCTATCACCAGAGACTGCAGCACACTAGAATCCCACTATACATACCTCTCGTCTGAACACGCTATAATATAGCTCAGATGGCTTTCCTGCAGGAACTGCTATCCCTGTGTTTTCTTTCTTTAAATCAATGTGTACCGCCAGGAAGTCTATGACTAAAACAACTTTTGCAGAAAACATCTCTCTCTCATGTATTACTATATGATCACATGCAAATGTGGGCCTGCTAGGAATGATTATTTGGCTTGAATAAAAAGTAAGTCCTGATTATCAGTTTTGGAAAGAAAAAGTCACTACATGAACAAAGAATGCCTAAGATTTTAGGAAGAGGCTGGAGATCAAGAACAATGGAAAGCCTATAAGCTAAATTTTAGCGCTACTAAATTGGCATGCAACTGAGCCACATCTATTTCGAACCTTTACATGAAAACACAGTTTACTTTCTGACATAGTAACAACCTAGCAGTTAACAGGTCTTTGTGGACTATAACTCCAGGCTGAGTTCCAAAGCAAGTGCGTGTATACACACACACACACACACAGGGTAGTCTAAGTACTCACCATGACACAGCTACCCAGACTGAGGTGCTGAAGCTCTGAACAGAAATTCAGGATGCTGAGCAGGGCTGTTTGCTGCCATACGGGAACACATCAGAAAGAAATATGCAAAGTGAAACAAAAAAAGAGGTCATTTAGACATTAAAGGCTGTCACCACTTATCTTGAAATACAGCTCAAAACTCAGTTACAGAAACAACAAATGCCATTTAATGAATCCCTGGGTGCTCTAACCATTGATTGTCTTAGGAATCATTACGAGCCTTTACGCAAGTCACTTTGGATGCTGTTTTGCATTGCCCTGAAGATACCTATACACCCGTGACCTATGGGATCATTTCTCCCAGGAAAGCTGCAGGAAAAAGTATGGCAAGTTCAAACAACTGGCAAGGCCAAACCAAAACCACGGAGGGCTCGTGACGTACCAGGAGAACAGCAGAGGCTCTGACATTCCCTACTCAGCTACAGCCTGATGGAAGTGTCAATAGAGCCACCCGGCATCAGGGTTGAGTCGGTGACTTTAATGTCAAAGGAGTCTCCATGCTGACAGGGATGCTGACAACCACTGAGCACCTGTCATGACTAGCATGCAGGCCGAAACAGATATAGGGAGTACTTTACAGTCATGCTTTTGACATTTAACAGGGTCATTTTCAGAAAGTACTGCACATTTCTGAGGGAGCCTGAAATTATACTGGAACATCAAACGTATCGTACAAACAGTTAAGCATATGGCTATTTTGTTCTATTTTCATATGATAAGGGAAATCTTCCTTTTTCAAACAAATTTGTGTTTCTAAGACATAGAGACTCCACTGCATTGTCTGTGGTCATATTCTGTTCTGTGGTTTGAAATACACTCAGTGCAACAAGAATTTATGGGGGATTCTAATTACAAATAACTGTGTTATACGTAAAACATTCACCACTTAGGATTTTGAAATCTATATGAGCTTGAAAAGTAGATTAAGTTTCACAAAACTTTAACAATAAAATCTGTGGATGTCTACAGGATATACAACACTTCCTCTCAGAAAAAACAAGTTATATACAAGGCATAAACTAATCTACTCCTAATAGTGTTCCCTAAAGGAACACTAGTCAACAATATTTGTATGTGTGTATAGTATAATCCATATAAAGTTAGTCATTTGTTTGCTTGTTTTTAGAAAGTTTACAGTAAATGTTTCACCTTAATATTCTCAACTTGTTATAATCTAATGAAACTCAGCAGGAACATGACCTTTTGTTATACTACTATGAAGAAGTATCTGATGCCTTGCACCGAACGGCTTGCAGATACAGAACGGGGACATGGTGCAGAGTATTCATGGAGTTTCAGACATCAAATTTAGGTGTCTCCAGGGAGCAATGAGAAACACCTAACACTCAATTTTACATGGAAGCTCAGCTTCCAAGTTTGCCTTCTGAGGTTTGATTTCCCAAAGGCAGCCTAGAAGTAGAGGGTGTGAATAAGCCTTCCTTATGTGTATCTTTACACAGGTCTTACAAAACTACTTTTGTTCGCTTGCTTTACTCTATTTATGTTTTTAAAGAAAAAGGTAGACTAGTGAATTAAACATAAAAGCTGTAAAAAGTCATTATTAAAGATGTAATATTCAATAGCACTTTAAAACGAGTAAATGCGTAAACATATTCACCTGTATGATAAAGCTTTAACTGAAGTACTTATTAAGCAAACACTGCATTTAGAGCATTAATTCTGAATAGTGAGTAATTCCAATAAAAATGAAACATGTATTTTACTCAGTGAAAGCTACAAGCTTTGGAACCTATTTAGGTGTCCAGATTGAAAACAAAATCCCCAAACCCCTTCCTACACACCTTAAAGATCTGCGCTTAAAAAAAAAAAACAGTCTCAAAAGACTACACACACAACTCTAAATAGGACTCTGCAGGTATTCAGGTGACTTCTCAGGAAAATGAAACACTTCGATGTATTCCATCATGTTTTTCAGTAATGGTTTTCAGTATAGGGTTTAAACACTGGCCTGAAAGGACGGGAAGCAGCAGCCCTTTTCTGCAATTGACACACAAACAGTGCAAAAGAAACGGTCACTCTGAATAGACTGTAGGATGCAAAATTAAATCAGTAAACCCTCTCCTTCAGAGAGGGGTAAAATAGTTAGGAAGACTGGTATTTATAATTGTCTTGGTCATATAACTGAGCTAATGCGTTAACTTGAACAGGGATTTTTGTATACCTCCCAGAATACCTTTTTCAATCTCCCTCTAATTTCATGCAGTCAGTCCACATTTTCAAAGGTCTTCTCACTACCTATTAAACCTATAGCATTATTTAAAATAATTATCTTTTAAAAACTACCAAGAAGAGAACACAAGGGATTTGGATAATAAGAAGGCAGCCTTGAAGAACACCATGTCGTACTGTTCCACAGCATTCCAAGTCAAGCCCAAGAGTAACAACTATGTATTCAACAGTAACTACACTGGATGTATTGACTTCTCTTCTGGAGTACATATGCCCACACACAGTACATCAGATCTCTTCAGAAGCAGTGTCTGTTCTTCTTTAACTAAGGTAATTTTTGCGTATGTCAAGAAAGAAAGAAAAAAATGTTCTCTCAGCATGTGTAATTGTGCCTCAGTTGATTCAGAATCCCAGTGGTAAAGGACATCAATATAGCAGGAGAGGACGACAACTCGCAGAATCCATATGCACTATATCTATGGTTGTAATAACCTATCTCTTTCAAGCCATGTCTGCTCAATTCATCTGATCTGCCTGCAATACAGGATGATGAGCAGTAAAATTCCTGTTTAAGCAAAGCTTGGAGAAGAGCAAGGCAGTCACCTGACCTTGAAGCTGTAATTCAGGCCACAGACTTCATAAGTTAGTGTGCTTTGTAAGAGGAGTGAAGAGGCCACCTAAATTCTTGATTGGCAAGCTTTAACCTGGAGAGAATCCATTTCACTTTCCTAGCCAAGTAGACACCATCCAATCAAAGATTACCCACGCAACACTTGATTCTTCAGCCTAATAACCAAGACATATAGTCTGCAGATTTCTTGAGCAATATCAGGGTGTTTTTCCCATACCAAAGGTAAAAAGTTTAGGCTCTTTCTTGCTCCCCTTTGCACATACTCAAACTGTGGAAAGAAGAAAAGTGGGAGATTTAAAAAAAGAATTGGAAGCAAACTTATGGGTTTTTTTTAATGGATTTTGTGTGTTAACACAAAATCGCTTCAGCGGTCCAAATTTCTTCTGCGACTCAGTTGAGTTGATCCTGCCTTGGACAAGGCAGAGAGGAAATTACTCAAAATCCTTTCTAGCTCTGTGATTCCAAATGAGACAGGTGACAGTTCTGGCCCAGAACAAAAAACTTCCATTCTTGTAATATAGGCCAGGGTAAAAAAGGTTTATATCCTGTGTATCAAGAGGGTGTACGCTTCAATTGAACAGCTGCTACGCGGCTAACTTGTATCCAATCTGTCCTTGTAAGGATTCTAGATCTATGCAAAACCATTCAGCTTTTGACTTTCATGTTGCAAAATTGCCTCTGTTTTGAAAAGAGGAGAAACCAAGTGGCATCAGTGGAGAAATCAAGTACCAGCCAAACACAGTAAAACACATGACAAGATTGATTCTTAGCTTTTTTCCAGGATTTTTTGCTTTTATCATCCAGGAAGTGTATAACATTTCTGATATCCATATGATAAGCAAAGCATCCAAGAGATAGCCTGAGCTCAACAGCCTGTCAAAAAGAAAAGCCTTCTGTCTGTGGCAAATTAGGTTCACCTGTGAAAGATGCACAGTGAGTATTTGACAGTTTACACATTGCAGTTTCACTGTAAAATATCCCAAGATTTAAAAGAAAACAAAGAGGTCTTTAAAATAATACAACAGATTGCTACATCTGCACTATAAAAAGGGTGAAAACTCGTGCACTGCAGTGTGCCTCCAGAAGGTTAATAGTAGAAGAGCCTAAGAAAAAAACATTGTAGGGCTGGGACAAGAAAGAAACAGATTGCTCTTTTTTAAAATAGATAAAGTTCCTTTTTACAGAGAAAGCTTGAAAACTGCTTTAAAAAATTGTTACTTTCTATGCTGGGAACAAAGAACAGACTGCTCTTTCCCACTGCTTTCTCAGAACAGAGTCTGACATAGGTTGGGAATTCTTGCGACCCTTTACTGATATGACAGGAGAACCTAACTCTTTTACAAGACTTTTTTTCTTGTAATTATTTATTCAAATTTTTCAGTGAATCAGGTGCTGACAAAAAAAAGTTTCCAATTGTCGAATCAAAAACTGCTCTTTCTTCTTCTTTAAATCAAGGTTCCTTTGCTTGCTATGTGTATTATCACAAAGTTCCTATTCTCTAGATTACCATAAAGTTGTCCAAGAAAAATTTGAATTAGGTAAGATTTAATTTTGTTTAATATCAAAAATTCAGGTTGAGGTAGGAAAAAAATCCTTTAATTCCTCCCCTACCCTCCCAAAACAGTATTATATGTGAGAACAATCAAAATCACATCATTTTTTCTTATTCTTTCCAAATGATGACCTCATCTCCAGCCCTCCCTGCCTCATCCCCCCAAAACTCCGCTGTCTCCACTTACAGGAAAAGAGTTATATAACATTAGTTGCAGGCAGATATCAGATAACACATCTATATTTGCAAGCTCACCACAACGAGAATATTATATTTTTCCATGATATCAAAGATTTAATATAAGAGTGATCCTAAAGACCATAATTTCTTCTCTCTCTCATTTCAGTTACTTATCTCTCCTTCAAAAAAAAAAAATGCATCTTGAAGAGTCTTGGCAATGAGCTGCTTCTGCATATGAAGTTTATGCGGTTGCAGTATTTAATAACAGGTTCCATCAGCATTTACCCATGTTTCTGGTTAGTATTTTCATCTTGTTCTGATGTGCCTACTTTAAAATGCCGCTTAAACTATTTGCTTTTAGGTTAGAATTAGGGTCTTTAGGGATCTATCAACCAATCGTACTGGATAATATACATTTATAATACCGGCTACTATCTCACAATAAACAATGAACTATTAATAAGACAAACAGGTAAAGCA